ACAATGACATAGTGAGGATCCTTGGGACAATAAGTAAACATTCCAAATGAACCTTCCATAATAGTTAGTTAGGAAAGTACAGAAACACATGTTCAACACATGTGATAACCGGCCAAGAGACAAGCCTAATCGAATTCGGTTAAGGTGGTTAGGGCTAGGCGCACATGTGGGGGTCAAGTCATGTGGGGCTGAGCTTCCTAACTAACTCTAGGCTCTAACAAACTTACATAACTAGCTAACTAACCTAGGACTAATCGAAATTAACTAACTAGTGCACCCCGAAACACTAAGACCTAACCGGGCGACACTATCCTAGTAACTAACTCAAGAAACATCCTAGTACCTAACCTAGGATGGTCCAAAGGAGTTGATTATGGTCCTAATTACTTAGGGGTACTTTAGTAGTTACCCTAAGTCACTTAACTAATTAAATTAGCAACTTAATTAATTAATTAAAAATCATGGACTTAGCTGAAACCCTTAGAAAATTTCCAGATTTGGCTAAGTCAAATGTTCTCCCATTTTTAGTTAATTTAAGAGGGGCCTTTTGGTAATTAGCTAATTGATTTATTTAATTAACTTAGTTAGCTTAAGTTGAATTAGTCAATATCAGTTCCTAAGACTTATACTCAAGTTTAACCACTAGAAACTCACGACTCAAAACAGTGAACAAACGTGAGAAAAACAGAAAATCTCTCGATTCTCCTTAGGCAATTTAAAGGCAATTCTTCAAGGTATTCGTTAAAAGTGCAAGATGATCTTCGTAGATTCAATTCTACAGTAACGTATGAGGTTTCTCTCTTGGTTTCCTTTCCCCAAGAGGCGTTTCAAACATTTTGTATTCAAGAACCAAAACTAGGGTTGTTCCCAATGAAACTTTCGAATGTTCATCTCCCTAGTTCTCCCTATTTCTGATTCTAGTAGTATGTGTAATGCAAAATCTCGAGCATGTTGTTGGTATGTGGTGCTAAGTGATCATTATGTTTAGGTTTCTATGATTTAATAATGTCAAATGGGACCTATATGTTAGATCCGTATGATTAATGCCTAATTGTGTTCGAGAAGATGAAACTGTTATAAATCGTTTATGAAATTCAGTTTATTGTTAAAAAGAATGAAGTTTTCAAATTTAGCTTAGCCAAACTAAGCACTGAATTATTCGTATGATCTAATCAAAACAAATGTTAAAAGTTGGCTTTCTTAAAATGATGAGATCATTATAGTACATACATGAAGTTAACTGAAGAAAGTTTCCATGATAATATCATGACAATGTTTAGTGAAAGATTGGCTTATGCCAATAAATTGGCTTACAAAATTATTTCCAAAATATGATATAAAGTTATCTAATGACTAAATCATACCAATCTTACATGGCCAATATAAATTAGGATGTTTCTTGTAAGGCCAAATACATGTTAATGATTGACTTGACAAGATGTAACTCAATGAACTCATAACCCAGGGTATGCCAATGATTGGGACAAGTCCAAACATACCCTATCTAAATGAAATTGTGAATATTAGCAAAGAGTCCCCGTAACTTTCATAAATAATGGTACAAGACTACCAAAGACATTGAACAAGATAAGGTGAGTAATGACATAACTAAAAGCTTATGAGTTATTAAACTTACCAGAATGGGGTGTTAAAAGAAGTGAGACAAGTCTCACTTGCACCTAAACGATTATGATAAAGATACTCACATAAGAGGGTGTTAGAATTCATGAGACAAGTCTCACCCACAGCATAATAATAATGTAAGACTTAAGTTCAAATTCATCAAGTAAAGAAAGAGATGACAGGTCATATAAGCATACCTAATATTAGAAGCAAGCTTCCATAATAATAAGAAATTGAGCAAATCACTGATAGACTAGCAATGATCTTGTGCAAGCACATATAAGCCTCATGAGATGAGTCTACCACCAAGGTGGATAAGTAGTCTTTGAAATCTCCTAGTCTTTGAACTATGTTGACAGCATAGGAACTAGCCAGTGGATTCCACCTAAGAGAGCTAGGTAGTATTCGTTTTCACTTTAGCAAGTGAACCACCCCTTTCCAGTGTGGGGCAGACACTGGATTTCATATTTAGATCACATGATCTATGTCGGTTAATGCTCAAAGAAAGTATTCAATTTCACTTTAACCGTGAATCACCTCTTTTCGGTGTGGGGAAGACACTGGACTTGGTTTCACTTTATTCGGTGAAGCACCCTTTTTAATGTGGGGCAGACACTGGATTTCATGTTAACTCACATGATCTAGGTTCACTTTTATCAGTGAACCACCACTTTTCAGTGTGGGCAGACACTGGATTTCATGTTAGCTCACATGATCTTAATGCTAAAGAATTCTTTAAGAAAGTAAGAAACAAAGAAAAAGAAATGTAAGTACAAAGTGAACTAAGAACACAAGAGCTTAAGAATATCAATCATCAGTGTTTGATAAAAATGAATTTTTAACATGGCATACCCAATAAAGATTGGCTTGTAATGACTTCTTATATTATATTAATGATCAAATAATGGGCATATCTAATAATAATAATATATGTGCCCGAGCAACTTTGTACTATCCAAAATGATTAAATAATGGGCATAGCCAATAAAGATTGGCATATAAAGATTTCATGCCCAATTTAACAAGAATGGAAAGAATAACTTGTGGTAAGGTTAGTCAAATCATTTCCTTGGTCTTTTGGATTACTTACTTGAGTCATTGTAGGTATGGGACTACAATGAATCATTGCACTTGTACGTAAAATATAGGATCAAATTATATCATTGAACTACACAACAACAAGAAGAAAAAGAGTGAAAAATAAACTAAGACATAGAGAAGAAGCTCTCGGCCTAAGGGAGCAAAATTATTATGTTTTGTTTGAGTTGTTCTGAAATTTTGTTTATGATTCCAAGGTATTATTGTTCATATGAAAAATGAGTTGTGTGATTTAAATGCATGAAAACATGTCATATTCATAGCATGAATTACAAATAACGAATTAGAAAAGTATAGTAAATTCACTTTCTAGAAAGGGCATGTTGCTTTAGGAAGAGCTTTCCTTTATCATGCATAATCCTTATGTGTTTATTTGCATACACCCATACTTAGTACAAATGTGCACTAACCCATATATTGTTACTATTTTTATAGGCACAAGTCTGAGAGAAGATTGAAGATTCCTTGAAGCGGTTTGGATTAGCGATTTTGGTAGGTCCTCTTGAGTTTGAGGATGCCTACGTTTATTATTCTAGCTTTAGTACATTAGACATAGCTAGTGGATGTTGTCCCTAGCATTTCATTTCAAGCATTTGTTCAAGCGTTTGTATTAAGGTCGTTTGGCAAACTACTATTATATTATAATTCTTCATTTCAATTATTTAATCTATTATAGATAGTTGTTTAGTTTGAGTCGTAGCATAACACTCTTATGCAGTAATTATATGAAGTCTACGTATACTTCATTAAGTTTTAAAATTTTTTAATTTTCCGCAAATTTAACTGTATGATTGTGATGAAAGTTAAGAAAAGGCTTGTCTGCGACCTCTGAGAGGTTAGCGACGCTGGTCGCGTTCGGATTCCAAATCCGGGTTTAACAAACTTGGTATGGAGCATGAGGTTAAATTACCTAGAAACGAATACTCAAAGCAACCACGATGCCTAGTTTCTAGCTTATGATTGTGAAGTGCTCCACAACCATGACTTAGAGACTAAGTGATGTTAGGAATCTTCCTTTCTTCTACTCTTTATCGTGTTGTGTAGAGCTTTGACATTTTGTGTCATTCTAGCATCTAAGTTACTTCTTGTGTATGCGTGAACACAAGAAGAACCGCAGGCAGGAGAGTTTGAGAAGCAGCTGCTGGGGGAAACCAAGCTCTTTCTAAAGTCCAGCTATTGGAGTGTGTGGTACGTGTGGTCATTTGCATGGAGGTGAGTGCATGGTAGGTTCTAATGCCTACAATGGGTGTAAATGAAGAGGAGAAGGCTAAGTTGGCTGAATACCAGCTCAAGGATGTGGCTAAGGTATGGTACAAGATGTGGGAAGATAGTTGAACACCAAGAGAAGTCCCCATCACTTGGGACATTCTCAAGACTGCACTCCTGGAGAGGTTTTTTTCAAGAGAGCAGAGAAAGGCTAAGGTACAGGAGTTCATTAACCTTTGTCGAGGAGGTTGATGGTTCATGCTTAAAAAGTTGAGGAGCGTCCCTTAAGGAAGAGGATGTAGCACCTCGTATTCTACGTGTACTAGTCTTATTTATATAATGCTTATTAACTGCCTTGTGGTATAGTTATGGATTCGGTTTTCATAGGCAACTAGTGGAAAAAGAACAGGTTTAAAGTGAATTGTCCATAGATTTTGATGCGAGCCAATTAAGTTGATGATGATGAAAGTATCTAAACTTGATATCATAAGGTGGTATTTGAGTCTAAAGTATAAAGTGACGTAGTGTATATAAGTTCTAAGTTATGTTTAAAGTTATTAAGATCTAGAAATGGAATAAAATATTGAGGTGCTTGCTTGACTTCACTAAGCTAGTAGGTGACAAGTAGGTGCATCACCTACTTTGACCTATTGACCAGACCAAGTAGGTACATCAACTACTAAGACTCTTTTGTCTATGTAATTGGGCCAAGTACATTTCACCCTTTTACATTAATTTAGCCCAAGTTGAATAGGAGTATGATGGGAAAATGGACAGCCAAGGCCCAATCTTCCAAAGCCCACAATAAATAATTTTAATAGAAAACTAGGTGCATCACCTACTTAAATGTGTGGACCAAATTATAGACACTTGTTGGCTGCAAATGAAGTATATGAAAGGTGGCAAAAGGGCCAATGTTCTTAAGTCCAAAAATTCCAAATGAAACGTCCAAGTAGGTGGGTCACCTACTTGACAAATTATGGCTCAAAATAAATGAGAAAGTCGGCCAAAGAAAGTCCTTTTAAAAGAGATTGATATCACTTTTTCAAGCTATTTTTACTTTGACAAAAAAATCTAATTTCTAGAGCTTTCTCTCTTCTCTCTCTTAGATTCATACAGCAGCATTAAATACCATTAGGGTTCTTCAATAATAGGCATTTCAATCTATTGGAAGGTATAATTTAAGACAAATTAAGGAGGACAACCTTTACGTTGAAGAATTCAAGTCTTAGCAATTTGTAGTTATGTCCAGCAAGGAAAGCTACTGCAATTTTCTCCCTCTTGTGCTTGAGTTAATTAGGACACTCGGTATGTGTTTGTGAGTTTGAAATTGTTACTGTTACATGGTGAATTTTAGGGAGGATGTTCTGGTGATTAGTGCATTTTGGGGTAGCTGCGGTGGGGATTCCTCTTTAAATTAAGTTATGAGCTTGTTTGAGATCTTTAAAAGTAATGTTAGCTCTTCAAGTGTTGGTGATCAGAAACCATGATTCATATTATGTATGTTATGATAAGGGATATGAACCGATTTGTGGGGAAGTTATGGATACGTTAAAGGACTTAAATATTGCAGGAGTTTTGGGGAGGACCTGATACGAAGGTTGTACAGTATATAGACGCAATTAAAGGAATAGGGAAGGAAAGAAAACACTGGCAAAATAGATTGCATCTTACCGCTTCGTTATTATTTAGGTGTGATCAAGTGGCTCAAATTGATTGATTAGCTACTAATACTAGTCTAACAACTTATTTTATTGTATATTAGTGATATGAAGAGAGGGTGCTTAAGTCATACGTTTTGAATTGTATAGCAAGGTACGTAAGGCTATTTGATTTCCTATTTATTTGGCATGAATCCAAAACATGCATTGCAAAAAGTAAGCTTCCTAAGTTCCCTTGGTATTGACTGGTCCATAGTTGCAGTTCCTACTCCCTAGAGCATTGAAGTGCGTACTGTAATATGAGTTTGTTACTAAATGTGCGTGTTTACTCTACCAAGTGTTAGCATGCAAGGTTTAAACTTTGTTCATTGCCAAATTACCCCTAGCACGTATTTCCATTATATAAGTCAAAGTGATCCTGGATTACACATGGTACATATGTTTATAGGATGTATATAGGATTTTCCCATATCTTGCCAACTTGCTTCAATTGATTATAGATATGTCATCTTGTCACACATTCATATGTTCCCTTTCTTCTTATTACCCCATTGTGTTAGACATTAATGTTATCTCACATGATTACTTCTTGCTCAATTGTATGTTTATGTGTACTTACTTGGAATATATATCTATCCTTAAGTTGAATATGCCATATTTCCCCCTTGGTTCCACATACATGAACATCTTGTATTTGTATCATATAGAGTTCAAATCTCTTGGCTGATTGTTACATCGTCTTCACTGGATGTGCTTCAATTTGTGATGTCAAAATGCTTACCGAGTCATATAAGATCCTAAGTACTACGTTCAAGTCACATTTGCGTCCCATGTCATTGTTATTATCGTAAGTCCATATTCATATGTCTTCTACTAGTGGTTCGTAGTTCTAAATCTAATAAGGATTATGACAACCAAAAAAATAATCACAAACAAGTTCTGAACATCAAAAAGAACAATCTAAAAAGAGTTATGATTATCTAATGAACAATACCAAAAGAGTTATGAACTGATAAACAACAATCTCAAAGATGAAAGAATCTAAGTGAAGTAATCAGTATGACTATGGGTGGTAGCTCATGGGTGAAATCCTAGCATGGGCCGATCCCGATTGCTATAGAAGGGTGGCATCTCAGGGGCGAAAGCCTAGCATGGGCCGCTCCCGGTTGGTATAGAAGGGTGGAAGCTCTGGATCGCAAGCCTAGCATGGGTCGATCCCAATTTGTAGAATTATGAGGACAGCATCCCAGGGGTTAAAATGCCTAGCATGGGTCATACTCTTCTACTGCTGCATAGCTGGTAATTTGTATCATATGTTGTATAAAGATTATAAAGTACATAAAAGTAAAGAAAAGAATGTAACATGCATGATTCCACAAGTACAAAGCAAAGGTTGTCTCTAATCCTTATATATTGGTATTTGGTTTCACTTGAGCTCTCATGTTACATATGGTTGTATTATGCCTTACATATTCAGTACATTCTTTCGTACTGATGTCCCTTATTTGGTATGCTGCATTTCATGCTGCAGGTACAAGTACTAAAGTAGTTGATTTTCCCAATAGAAGCACATTATACTCAGCGGATGTTGGTAAGCTCCAGGTCGATTCGAGGCTTTGCCAAGTCTACTATGCGTATTTTCATTATGGTACCATCATGAATTCTAGTATAGTCTTTGTAGACATTGTAAAGTTATCATTTGTATTCATAGTTTCACTTGTCACATATAGCGGTTCAGTTATTCAAAATGTGTTGTATATGAAGCTTCATCACTAATCTGCATAGTAGTTTACTTTCTCATCATAGACTACTTGTAAATCATGTGTACATAAGGTACTTGTCTGTCTCACCTAGGGTTGGGGGCTGAAAAAAGTGGTATCAGAGCAGTTCGTCCTAGGGGGTCTACAAAGTCGTGTCCAGTAGAGCCTTAGTTATGAATGTGTTGCGCGCCAAATTTATAACCAGTGGGCTATTTGGACATTTAGAAAATGTTACCTTCCTTCACAATCTTATTTGTGGACATTTAGGAAATGTTGCGCGCCAAATTTAAGGTTAACGGTTGTTAAAGTGTTAGCATGTAACATACAGAGAGGACCTCAAGTTACCTAAAGTTTGACTAGATTGAGCTCATTTTTTTCGTGCATCTCACTCCACAAGGTATGTTGGCTTTTATGTTATTTGCAATTAAAGTTGCATTTGTACCATTTGCATCATGTTGGTTCAAAATGATTTGTTACCTAGTTAAATATATTTGTTGTAGCATTTCCAGACACATCATCTTAGGAGGATGTAACCAGCTCTTGAGTTCTATATTTCCTCCATGCTTATAGGATTTATTCCTATAGAGGACACTTGTTCTTAGTCTTTGATATACATAAAATTTTCAGCATTACACAAGTTCTCGAAATTGATGTAGTCAAACCAGTTTCTTTTAGTTCAAAGAAGCTAGTGGCACAATTTTATAGGTGGATGTATCAGTGCAACAGTTTTACAACCGATACCCCTGATTGGCTGACAAAGCTTACTCTCACCGTATGTCCTCCTGAGTATGTTAATGTTTGGCATTTCTATGGTATTGGCCAATAGCTCTGAACAAGTACTAATAACATTTATATTCTTTTCATGATTATAAAACTTAGGGATAAGAGTGTCAATTGTTGCAAATGATATATGTGTGGTGGTTCCTTTAATGATATATGTGTTGCTATAAAGAATTAATATGTGCCTAACGGGTAAGGATAATGACAAGAAAGTTAATTGGTTAGAAAAAAGTTATGATTAGTTGGTTGAACATAATGGAATCTAGTAAATGAAGCTGCTAGTTTTGATAAAATTTGTTAGAAGGGAAGCTTGTGAGAATGAAACTTAAATTACACAGGCCGAATATGTACAACCAACTTCTCATTAGAAAGAGATAAAATATGTCAAATTGCCTAAACATAGGAATAGGTGTGATATGAGGATGCATAGAGGAGTGAGATAGAAGGTTATGAGAGAGTGATTGCTAAAGTGTATACGGTAAGAAAATGTTATCAACTCTTCAACGCTAACAAGTTATAATGGCACACTGGGAACACTTTTGTGAACCTTTGTCACATAGAGAAGTCAATTTAATATCGATTCAAGTTTTGATATTTAGTCTTGATAACAACAAGAAAAAAGGAGGTGAATTTAATGTTACCTAGATAGAAGATGGACCTAATTCATCCACATCATTAGTACAAATAGAAGAAAAACATTATACATATGTATAGACTTCCATCAAATTTAATAGAGATATTACCGGTTTCATTTTATATATGCCTACAGTAACTCAACAGTCCTTGTCCAGTTAAGGGAAATGAAAAAAATTAATCATATGCATATTTCTAGTTGTTCTTATTTGGTATCTTGCATGGGAAAAGAGTCGGAGCACCCTCGCTTATTATGAAAAAAGGGAAGAAATCTTTTAGTATGGTCAGACCTATCTAGTTAAGCCCAAATAGGCTAACTCTAAGATGTTATGAATCATGATATAAAATTTATAGGTACTTGACAATTACATGTTATTAGAGTTCATATTTCATGATGCGTTCAAGCTTCACTATTTATTTATTTTTCTGACCTTCAAAAGGCATCAGGCATTGAGTGTGATATAACACAAGCTAGTAATGAAGGCAAAATTGACCTTGGCCTCCTACTCTAAAAGATGAACTATTTTTTTGAGGAAAATCTTTTATAATCTTGACTGTACTATTTATATTGACCTAGACGGAAGCCCAGTCCCAATAGCAGAACAATAATAAGAATTCTTAGGAGATTTGAGAGGGTAGATGTGATATCAATTCTATGTGTTTTGAGGCGAGTTAGGAATATAAGCAAAACAATACCACCTATAACTTAAACGCTTAAGACAACGTGTTTACCTTAGTACAGTAGAGTCGTTCTATAATATATATCGTAGTTTCCAAAGGTGATTTGTTATATAATTACATGTTGTATATTCAATAACTTATCTATTCGTATTTCATTTTCCCTTTGTGGATTGTCTTCTCATAGGTACCTAATATCATGGAATGCTTACATGCAAGAGTTATCTGCTTCAGATCACCCTTGTTTATTGATGTTTTCATAGGAACTTTTCAATACATGTTATCTATTAAACTGATTACTTCCCACATGCCACTTGTACATATTGTACGGGTAATGCATGCTAATTAATCATATGACCATTTCTATATATTTTGCATACCAAGGAGCCTACTTGCTTAAATATTTAAGGACTTATAGCTTTTCTGACCATGTGTTATGTGCTCACTTGATCATATTTCATATATGTTCTCACTGACATGTTAGTCCACCTATCCATGCAATACAATGCACTTGCTCAATATGATTTGTATTTCGTACTTAATTTTCTGTAATGTCTACATGTCATATCTACTATATGTCTTAGCGTATGTACTCGTGCATCATGTGATCATCTAGTCCATTCCTACATTCCCTATAGTTCATTCGCTCACACGCTACCCTATAACTCATATGCACGCGTACACCGTGTATTTCTATAGCTTAATGCTCGTATACCTGGCACTCTCCCTTTTGGCCTAGTCTACCTATGTGTCATGCCCAATGTGACTTATTCATCCGTATACTATGCCCCTCTCCATGCTTATTGATTTGAGTTTTGAACACTTTGGGAATATTTTTTTGTATCATTATGTAGTGATGATTTTGACCAGAAAAGGTTGGGTATATATGAAAATTTATTCAACCATAGATAAATAACTTAGCATAATACTCTATTGGCATGAGCGGCATAAAACTAGATTTATATTAACAACTATGCGATTTTAAGGACTCACCTCTGATAAGCGTCATGAAATAAAAGAGAAAAGAAAGTATTGCCCCGATAGCCTATGATTGTATGTGTCCATTCATATACAAAAAAGAATTGGGAGATACTAAAGTTATTCTTAATTGTTAAGGCTCGGAAGCTAAGCTCAAAATGTGTAACCATAAGTATTAGGGAAGGAATAGAATATAACATAAGATACTTCAGAATAGAACATGGTAGAGAGATACTAAGTAACCCTCCTCATTCTAAACATCAACATAAGGCTCTGAGATCATGTGGTCCCCTTATATGATCATGAATCCCACAAGAATTTGTTCATTTGTTGTGTCATTTGCGTGTCTTATATTTAGGTATATTACAATCCTTATTTGTATGAGTCCTACTTGTATATCTTTAGTGAATTACATGGTAAAGAAGGGGTTTAATTTTCATACTACTATTTCATGAATCATATCTATCGAGACGTCGTGCTAGATTTGTCAATACATATTTTAGGTTAGTCTATGGATTTTAGATAGTCCTTCCTATTTATAATGGGGATTATCGCAAATCTCTATATGAAATTCAAATATTAACTGAACTACTAGGTGCACCTATCATTCGAGGAAGAATGATCATAAGAGCGGGAGGATGTAACACCCCGTATTCTATGTGTACTAGTCTTATTTATATAATGCTTATTAACTGCTTGTGGTATAGTTATGGATTCAGTTTCATAGGCAACTGGTGGAAATAGAATAGGTTTTAAGTCAACTGTCCATAGATTTTGATGCGAACCAATTAACTTGATTTCGATGGAATTATTTCAACTTGAGATCATAAGGTGGTATTTGAGTCTAAAATATAAAATGACGTAGTGCATATATGTTCTAAGGTTAAAGTTATTAAGGTCTAGAAATGGAATAAGATATTGAGGTTCTTGCTTGACTTCTCTAAGCTAGTAGGTGACAAGTAGGTGCATCACCTACTTTGACTTATTGACCAGACCAAGTAGGTACATCAACTACTAAAACTCTTTTGACTATGTAATTGGGCCAAGTACATTTCACCCATTTACATTAATTTAGCCCAAGTTGAATAGAAGAATAATGGGAAAATGGACAGCCAAGGCCCAATCTTCTAAAGACCACAAGAAATAATTTTAATACAAAACTAGGTGCATCACCTACTTAAATGTGTGGCCCAAATTATAGACACTTGTTTGCTGCAAATGAAGTATATGAAAGGTGGCAAAAGGGCCAATGTTCTTAAGTCCAAAAATTCCAAATCAAAAGTACAAGTAGGTGGTCACCTACTTGACAAATTATGGACCAAAATGAGTGAGAAAGTAGGCCAAAGCAGGTCCCTTTAAAAGAGATTGATGTCAGCTTTTTCCAACCATTTTTACTTTGACAAAAAAATATGATTTCTTGAGCTTTCTCTATTCTCTCTCTTAGATTCATTCAATATCCGTTAAATACCATTAGGGTTCTTGAATAATAGGCATTTCAATCTACTGGAAGGTATAATTTAAGACAAATTAAGGAGGACAACCTTTACCTTGAAGAATTCAAGTCTTAGCAAGTGGTAGTTATGTCCAGCAAGGTAAGCTACTGCAATTTTCTCCCTCTTGTGCTAGAGTTAATAAGGACACTTGGTATGTGTAACTGAGTTGGAAATTGTTACTTCTACATGGTGAATTTTGGGTAGGATGTTCTGGTGATTAGTGCATGTTGGGGCAGCTATGGTGGAGAGTCCTCTTTAGATTAAGCTAT